CCTCCTTCCCCACCCAGCTCCACCATTTCCTCTCCCTCTGCCTGTGCCAAAAGGTTCCTGTGCACATGGCGGCCCTGTTTCCTGTAGGCCACTGAAAAAGCCTGGCGCTGACGTACGAGGCTCTGAGACAATGCTGAGCTCCTCTAAACAAACACGGTTTGGACCCGGGCCGCCGGGTCGCACTTAATCTGAGGAGCAGACAGAACAACGGGTCCGGCTCTCAGCTTGAGTGCCATCTTAGGCCTTGGTGTTGAGCAGAACACAGGAAGTTGGAGTTAAATCTCAATTAGACTCCACCTTGAGCTCCCTCCTCCCCCACCGCCACCGCCGCTCTGCAACCCCCGATCCTAACGACAAAATAAAAGTGTGGTTAAGGTTACTGATGTCGTTACAGATAGACGACCTCCTGGTTCTGCTCCTCAGCGTTATTTTACAGCTTTCAGCAGATCTGAATTTAACAAATTCATCTGCAAAAAGGAAAGAAAAAACATTTTATGGCTTTGTTGACCTGTTCATTTTTAGTTTAATGTTTTGTTCTTTATGTTTGAAACAAGTTTGTCTTGAAAATAAAACTCCAAATCTCAAAATAAAACAAATAGTTTTATTAGCTGCTAAACATCTATAACAACATGTGTGATCATATAATGACACAAACTGACAGAAATCTAAATAATAAACAATCTAATAAACTTAACGAGCAGGCGGCCATGTTGGATTTTAAAGTTTGATCAAAATCCAAACTTTCAGTCTAAAATCTGTTTTTCTCTGGTGTTAAATTGGTTTTATTTCTTTAAAGGGCCTTTAGTTTCACAATAAATAGTTATTCAAATATTAGGGCTGCAACGATACAGAAAATTCACGATTCCGTTTGATACTTTAGACTCACAGTTCGATGTTTTTGCAATACAAAAAAAGAGAAATGTCCATCCCACTTTTAACTTGTAATTTATTTAAATTAATTATGAACATTTGTTTAACCTCAAAAGTACAGTTTTTCAATTAAATGTTGCTCAAACAGCAAGTTTCTCAGTGGATCTGTGCTCAAAACTGCAGCCTAGGTGGAGTAGTCGAACACAGATCCACTGATCCTTCAACACAGAGCATCTTCAGAAGACAAGCTGATAAAGTTAATTTTATAAATCTGTATTGTTCCATACAAGTGTGTACTGAACCTAAAGCACTGTTTGATACTGGTACATGTATTGTTGCAGCCCTATCAAATACAGCGGGTAAAATAAGTATTGAACACGTCACCATTTTTCTCAGTAAATATATTACTAGAGGTGCTAATGACATGAAATTTTCACCAGATGTTGGTAACAACCCAAGTGATCCAAACATACAAAGACTTCAAATCTTGAAGGTTTCGTGGGCCTCTTCTATGAACTCTGATCTTTAGTTCTT